GGCCCAGGCAGGATGCAAAGGACTTCAGGTCTGGGGCTCTGGGATCTTGCAGAACAGATCTCATCTCTACTACTTACCAGCTGTGTGATGCTGAATGAGTTACTTAACTTCTCTGAATGTTAGCATTCTTATCTGTAAATTGGGATTAGTCATAGTATCCACCCAACAGAGGCACTGGGAGGATACAGTGAGATAACACTGCGAGCATGCTTAGCATAGTGTTCCACACACACTGAAACACTCAGTACTGACAGCTGCTTTTTGTTCTTGTTTGTATCATGATTATTGCTAAGGCCATTTTGGTGGTGACTCAACATGAGGTACTAACAAAAGCCTGGACTCTGAGTTCAATGGGCTGGTGACACAGTGCTGTGTCTAGGGAGAACTATCATGCATTCCTGATCCTTAATCTTTTCATATGCAAAGTGGAAAAATCGCAAAATTTTTGTGAAGCTGGGATGAAGCAACATACTTGAAGATACATGCATGCTCGATGCTCAGGTGAAAGTCAGTTCCACTCCAGAGATGGGAAAGCTGGGGGATGGAGGCACAATGTCACTTTACTAAGCAGGTGAGGGATGGGCAAGGCTGGGCTCCTTGGTGGAGCCTGGGAACAGGCTGCAGTGACCATTAGGTGATGTGCACTCAAAAGACCTCATAGTGCAGTGGTTAAGTGCAAAGCCCCTTGGAGCCAGACTGCCTGGGTTCAAATCCTGGCTCTGAAATGTACTAGCTGTGTGGCCCCAGTATCACCGTCTATGAAATAGGGATGAAGATAGGACACGTCTAAGAGTGATCACATGGCTTAAAATTGTCAGCCCTGTGCCTCACATATAGTAGGCATTATTATAGATCTTTGAAAATAAATTTAATTTATGCAAAATTAAAATATACGTGCTTAAACAAAAAAAGTGAGAAAAAATCACTTAAATTGGGGTAATCATTCAATGAGCATATGCGCAGAGTGCAGAAAAGGAAGGGGGGGTCTGTTCCCCCATCAGCCCTCAAGTACCTCCTGCTTGTAGTGAGGGCATCTCCCCAAGTATTTTTTTCCAAACAATACAGCCCCTAGAGACAGGATAACTATCTTATCTGATCCTCAGCCAACAAGAAAGCAATCTGTTCCATCTTGACCTTGCAGAATTGGGAGACTGTGCCTAGGTCTCCCACATGGGACATTCACCCCCACGCAAGACACGAATCCACTGAGCTCTCACATTCTAGGCTGTCACAGCTCTTAATCCCTCACCCCTGGCATGTGACAACTCCTGGAGGGGACCACAGCTCTGCAAAATTTCTGTATAAACCCAGGCCTGATCTCTAACTCCAGAAACATACTGTAATGCAAGTGAGTGAGCTGGCTCAAGATTAAATGAATAACCTCAAATTCACTCTACCATTTTTAAATAGTAAATTGGAAACGAAAATAGTAGACTTCAATGGATATTAGTCACAAATGACTAATTTCTCTCAATGTCAACATATCCAACTGAAATTGAAAACTGCTCCAAGTTAGTTCAGTTTCTTCTTTGAGACCAAGGTCTCCTTCTTAGTCTATTTATCCAACTGAGACTGTCCTTCGTCTGTTGATGTCACAGTTTGGAGACCATCAATGGAAAAGGGAGAAGATACAGGAGCAGGGACTCTAGGGGTTTAAATCCTAGTCCTGTCTCTGCCACCTCTTAAACACCTTTACACCTTAATTCCCCAAGGTCAAACTAGAGATTTGGACTAGTAAGGTGTACCCCATTCCCAGTCCTGGCCAAGTCCTCAAATGATGTGGATTCTTGTCCACTTAATATTTTTCTTTACATTGACTCTCCTACTCAAAAATTCTGTTTTAAAAGTAAATTTTAGTCACTCTTGGAGCACAACAGTAAACCAGTTCATTATTTTGAAAACTGTTAAATAAAGTGAAAGGATCAAGCATGTGTCCTTTGTCATACAAACTATATGACCAGGGAACCAAGCAATAGATGAGGGGAAGCCCCTCTTTATAAAAGTATTACAATAGTAAATGAAAAAAAAAAAAAGAATGGGACTAGGGTATTACCATGTTACAATCCCTAATTACGAGTTAACGAACCAAGCTGACAAAATACTGAGAGACAACCGGACACTATGTGCTTTCGGGTGAAAGAACACACCACCACGTGTGGTCTTGCCAAAAGGATCGAAGCTGAGTCTGACCAGGTCTGTAGTCCAGCTGCTAACTTGCAGGAAATACAGAGGACAAAGGAAAGGTGTTGAGATGCCCCAAAACTGTACAGAAAAAAACCTCAACTCTGCAAATGCCACAGGTGAAACAGCCCAGGATCTTCAGCAGATAAAAGAACAGATGAAAGAAAAGGATGGAAGGAATGGAGATGGAAATCACTAGATTAAAGACTTAAAGGAAACAAGATTAGATGTAAAATAGAATAGCATCCCATCTCCCATAGGGGTTGGGCTCTAAAATCAACATGAACAGAGTCCAAATTAATCTTGTAAAAACCCTTTACAGCATCTTTGGGACACTAGGCAATGGCCCTTAGAAGCCCCCAAAAGCAAGAACTAACTTGGTACCTCTTTGCATTTGGGCTCTGGTCCCTCCTTCCTTGGGTATGGAGAGTGAGGTCTGATTTGAACAAGGAAAAGGTAAGAGGTTTCTTACAGGATGTCTCCTGTTCCCCCAGATAGAATTGAAATCACAGTCAACAGCAGAAAGACTAGCACACGTGTTCTCTTCTCATCTTGGCCACCATGGCTCTGAGCTCGCTAGCCCCTGCCTGGACACTGTGCCCCTGCCCTGGGGTCCTCTGAGGGCTGCATCCTCATGCTACCTGCAGAGATGTACTCGTGCATTTATCCAAAAGGTCTGGGGGGCTGAGTGTAACCATCTAGAGGCACAATCAGTAGACCTTTTCACTGAGTTCCTGTCCCCAAGTCATCCCTTACTGTCAGGAAAAGGCCCTGCTCTGTTGGTTATAAAACCAACTGCCTGAGTTCCTTTATCTGCATTGAGACAGCATCTGCCTCGGGGAGAGCACTTCTCAGTGGCAACCTCAGGAATTCTCAGCTAACTCCCCTCGGCCCAACGTCTTTCTGTTTCTAAAATGGGAAGGGCCCAGGTATCTCTTTGGGGTGGGTGTTCCTGGGACAGCTTTGGCCAAAGCCTGGAGACAGCCTGGAGATGGAGTGCCCAGGGCCACCAGCCAAGTTACCATGGTCTGGAAGCAGGAGTGGAGTTGGGTCAGGAAAGGTGGCTTGCCGGGCAGGGCCAGCACCCGCTTCTCCACCATGGTGCACTCCACGTCGTCGTCCTGGATCACCACGTCCTTCTTCAGGATCTTCACGGCATAGAGCTCGTCTGTGCCTTTCCGCTCTGAGAGCATGACCTGGGAAAGAGGACAGCATGTCGGGGCAGTTAGAAGGGGGCTGGGGGAAAGCCACGGGCAGCTAACATTCACGCAAGTCCACTCCCTGCTCTGCACGGATGCCCCCTATGGACTCTGAAACAGTGGACGGCACATCCCACTGACCTCACACTTTGAATGGCTGAACCCAACTGACACAGGACAGTTTCAGGACATACAACCAGTACTGATCCCTTTGCCATATGTATCAATGCCCAGCTAATATGGCCAGTATGGCTAGACGATAAGCCCCATGAAGGTAAATATCTTTGCCTGTTTTGTTCACCATCATCATTACCCAAGAGCCTACAATGGTCCTGGCACACAGTAGGTGTTCAGTAAGTATTTGTTGAATGAGGGAATGCCCGATAACACTGAATGCGGGGCACTTGTTCCTTTATTCATTCAATTATTTAATATTCATTAAGAGCTTGCTAAGCACTGGGGATATAGCAATAAACAAGCAGGCACGTTCTCTGACCCTGAACTCCGGTGAGGAAGAGACTTTGGACAATTAATTACAGGGATTGTTAATGTAGTATTTTAACAGCCTCTCCTATTGTCTTCAGGCTTCCTTCTATGAGCCATGGTCAGTCAGGGCCCGTTAACCAGTGTGGCTCATGGACACATCATTATTTTCATTGGTTGTGACTATGCCAGAGGGAATAATGACCAGAGGCACTGTTCTCAAGAAGCTTCTTAGTATGTACAGGACAGGACCACATTATGGATAGACCTAACCTGGTCTGGGGGCTTCCAGAAAGCTTCCTGGAGGAAGAAACAATCAGATTGAAGTATTTACTGCATGCACTGTGTCAGGTCTTTTGCAGGTAATAAAATTAATCACCACTAATCAATGTACCAAACAATTACTGGTTTTCATTTACTGTTTCTCATTTACTTTGCTTAAGACCCTAGGAAGTAGGTAATATTACAAATCGCATTTTACAGGAAACCAAGGCTCGGGAGAATAAGTATCATAACACATATTCAGTTAAGGACAGGGCCAGGATTTGAACTTAGGTCTACATGACTCAAGTCTCTGCCTTTAACTGCTCTGCTCGAGCTCCAGAAGAACCCTCAAGGAGTTTAGGTGGTTGAGGACATAAAATGGTCACACCTGAATCAGCTGGGGGACCAGAAAATGTGACAGAGACTGGGGCCAGAAGTAGCTCAGAAGCAGGAGGACAGCTCGGTGCACTCCACTTGGCCCAGATCCCAATAGTATGACTGGACCCATGCACGGAAGCTTCCAGATCCATGCATCTGTGCACTGAAGCTTCTGGGCTGAGCCTGCCGGCTCACACACAGTCCCCATCTCCTGTTCCCACTGTCTCCTCTGTCATCACAGCCAGGCATGGCTATGGGGAATGCAGACCCAGGGATTTAGGGCACTTTAGAAAGACAGCTCCTGACACACACTTCCACAGCAACAGGGCTTTTCTCAACCTCTTTCTCCATCAGCGCCACAGTGAAAAGTAGGAGCTGCCGATCTGAAGGGTCCTACCTGCTGGACATGTCCTCAAAACAGACCCACCAGCCCGTGTGGCAAAGCAAAGCTTAAAGTGTTAGAACATGTGTCTTCAGTTTATTCCCATCTCCCTCTCTTCTGTCCCTGGTACCTTCCCCAGCCCTCTCCAAGGCCGAAACAAGGACTCAAGGAAGCCACCATCCTAAGACGTACAGAGTCAGATGGAGATAGGGGTTTTCCGCTCTCAGATTCCAGAGAAAGCTGGGTCTGGGTCAAGTGCAGGGAGAGGCAGGGAGGTGACTTGTGTGAATGAGCAGAGGGGCTGGAGGTGGGAGGAAGAAGAGCCTTCTGTTGAGGGGCTCCCAGAGTCCAGGAGGAGGGGCTCAGTGCTGAGTTGTCTTGGAGTGTGGACACCCTGTCTAACCATCACCACCAGTCAAGGCACCATCCAACAACCCTGAATGTGTGTAGCCCACCATCCCCCACCAAGAACAGAGAGGAGGGGCCCTGGCCATGTTGCAGGAGGATGCAGTCATGATCTTAGCCTTCTGCATGCAAGCAAAACAGGACAGAATGGCTGGGAAATTCCCCCCCGCACCAGCAACAATGGTGGATATCCTACATCTGTTTCACTTATCCCCATTGTACAGGCAAACAAACTGAGGCTCAGAGAGATTAACCTGCTTGAACTAATGATTGTTCTAACGGTACTAACAGTGCTACTTGAATGCTGAATCTTTCAGTGGCTCCTGAAAGCCAAACAATTCCATGACTATGTCCTGCTCTTTCTTTTCCTTTGAATGTTCTATTCCCACTGCCCACAATGTCCTTCTACACTTTCACTGCCTAGATTCAACTCAGATGTTACCTCCTTCTATAACCCCAATGATTCACTTAGACAAAATCAGCTGCTCCCTCCTCTGGGCACCAAAGGCTGCTTTGTACCTATGTCAGTTACTTCACTGCAGGTGTTTCCAAACTTCAATTATTCATGTGCCTTTTTCATAGTTTTTCCTACCACCTAAACAGTTATTTGCTTAGCATTTTAAAAATCTAGTCACATTTGTACTTAACTAAATTTATTTTAAAAGGAAACTTTATATCACCACGATTAATGGGAAGCCAGAACCAACAGTCATAAAAGGAAGGTAAGCATAAAAATAAATTAAAGAAAAGCAGCACTAGTAAATTCTAGATTCTGATGGCTCCTGAAGGGTGTGAGCCAGGCCCTGTGTTTCCTCCTTGTTAAAAGAAAAAATCATATTAGCAAACATTAGAGATCATATTGTCATCAAATGAGATCTTCCTGCTCAGGTAATTAGCAAGACTAAAAGGAAACACAAAGAGAGAATAGTCTTATCATAATGTGATTTAATTTCATTTAATATCACCTCTATATACTACCTAAAATAATCTAAACTACTAACTGAAATCATCTTGCAAATCATCAATACTATGTGCTCCACACCTTAGGAAATATTGTTGTATCTGCACAGACAGTTTTTAAAATCAATCAACAGGATGTATAAAGATTCCCAGTGCCTTGTCCTGTCCTAAGCAACATGGGTTAGAGGGAAGAAGCCAGAACCAGATAGCAATTCTAACATCATGTGAGTAGAATGCAAATAACCAAAATTTGGGAAATTGCCCTATACTGTCAGAGAAAAAGAGGACTGACATGCATGAAACACTAATAATAATTTAGAAATAGAGCTGAATTAAATTCTAGAGCAGGAGTCAGCAAACTTTGTAAAGGGCCAAATGGTAAATATGATAGGCTTTGTGACACAGTCTCTGTACCAACTATTAAATTCTGCTATTGTACTGAGAAAACAGCCATAAATGATAGACAAATGAACGAGGCTGTGTTCCAATAAAACTTTATTTACAAAAATAAGCAGTGGGCCAGGCTCCAGCTGTTTGCTGACCCATGTTCTAGAACATGGATTCCAAGAAAGATCAGGAAAAATGAGTGACCACATGATCAAAAGTGGCTGCAGACTGATTTGTGAATGAACCCTAGCATGCCTTTCATTCCTTCCAAATCTTTGTTATTAGAAGAACCTTCTGATTGGGCAGTAGACACACCTGGCCACAGCTGATTGGGTCAGAGGTAGACATCTGACCTAAGCTGAGCCAATCAGATTCTTTCCCAAGAACTTGGAACTAGGATCCCCCAAGGGGTCAGCCCTTGGCCCCTGAAGAGAGAACACACAGATCTGCCTAGCATGGTCATCTTCTACCACCTGCAGGCAAAGAATGAAACAGAAGTGTGGGGGAGAAAAGGTCAGAGAATGACCTTTCCAGTACCTGCTTCCAGTCTTTCTGGAGGCTTGGCCTTTTTCTATTAGAAACTTCCACATCACTCCAATACAGTGATTTTTATTTATATTAGTTTGAGTGGATTTAAGTATATTAGATATCTTGTAAGACAAAATTATTGCTTGGGTAGCTCAAATTCTTAATAAAAATTAAAATTTCAGGAAGCCAAGTAGCATCCAGGCAGTATGTGACTTAAACAAGGTAAATTCCACTCTATAAAGGACGGTGCCTCTTGCCGCTATCAGAATCACTCAGGGGTCCTTGTTTACCAGATAGATTTGAAGCTCAGCCAATACTTCAGGAGATCTGGGCTGTGGTCTGGGAGTCTATTTTCACAAGTACACCCCTCCCACCTTAGCTCTAATCACCAGATATGAACAAAATTGATTCATTTAATAAGGTAGTTAGGAGATGCCAACAGGTAAAACAGAATCCTTCTATCCTGATTTTCCTAACACTTGCCCAGCAGTCATCAATAAAGGGTAAAGAGAACTTTCCTCTTCTCTTTAATATTCTAATCAAGCTTTCCTTTTCAATAGGACTCTCTCTGCCCTCTCTTGGAGCTACATTTTGAGAGCTTTCCCCATAGCATGAAGGAAAAGATTTTCTGCAGTAGTTTCATAACATGTCTACAAATATTTGACACTATTTCAGTCAAGAGACAGTCTATGCTCTCTCCCTTGAACCTCGGCAGGCCTTTGTGACTGCCTTAATGAACAGAGTGCAATAGAAGTGACCCTGTGTGACTTTCGAGTCTGCAGCCTTTGTCAGTTTCTCTTGGAACATGTACCTTTGGATCCCTGAGGCTGCCATGCTAGACCACAGAATGAGACCATGTGGAGAGGCCCTGGGACTACATAAAGAGCTTGATGCCCAGCCAACCCAGGTGCTCCAGCCCAGCTCTCCCTGCTCTAGCCACTGCACGAGAAACCCCAAGCCATACGATCTAACAATCCCACTGCTGGGTGTATACCCAAAGGAATGGAAACCATCATGTCGAAAGGATAGCTGCACTCCCATGTTTATTGTAGCTCTATTTACGATAGCCAAGAGTTGGAACCAACATAAATGTCCATTGACAGATAACTGGATAAGGAAAATGTAGCATATATACACAATGGAATACTACTCAGCCACAGAAAAAGAATGAAATTCTGCCATTCGCAACATGGATGAGCTTGGAGGAAAT